TTATGACATGAACATAATAATTTTTTCATTGTTGATGAAAGTATTATATTACCATCTAATGTATAACGACGTATAATATCAAGAATTTGACAACCACGATAACCATTTGTTTGAAGTTTATTTATTAATGAAACAAGTGAAGGAAATAAAAGATTATAATCAGTTAATGATATTAAAAGATGTGATAATGTTAATGATGTATCAATAAGACATTCATGTTCAAGTTGTTTTAAACAATTAAGATATGTTTGAAGAATTGAACGTAATTCAAAAGCAAAACTTAATATATATAAACCACCTTAGATTAGAAAATATAAGATATTAAAAATTAAAAGATTTCCTTTGTTTTTACTTTTTTTATCTTTAAAAATATTTTGAATATATTCATCAAGTGTACGATAATGTTGACCAAGTTGTGTAAGTCGATCTAAAATTTCTAATTCACCTTGATGAACATATGGAATTGTTGGAAGACGCTAGAAAAAAAATTTAAATTAAAAAATAACCTTATTTTTTTTATTCACTTTTTTAAAATAAGGATCATCTTGTTTTAATGTTAATAAACCACTACATCCAGTTTGTAAAGCTATTAAAGCTTCATGTAAAGCCATTGCAAATGAAAAACAAAAACACAACACAAAATTTTCGAAAATGAATATTTTAAATCGTAAGTAGCGGTTTGATGTTCGGTATATGATCACATTAATAAATCTGTGAATGTCACTTACGACATCTATAAAAATACAATAATGTAAGTTTTATATTTAACGTAAGGTTTTATCCTCATTTAGATTTTAAAAATGATTTAGTCTAAATATTAAGTATCAAATTCTCATTTTAAAATATTATTTTTTTTTGCTTCCCTATCAAATAAAACAACCAATTAAATAGACAAATGGAATCATGAATAAAATTTCGTTGGCTTTTTTCACAATGAACGAATTCTTTAATTTTTAGATTCTATTTTTACAAACATGGTGAAAATCAAAGATTGATTAATATTCGTGATGAAAAATATATTACTGTTAAACTCTATTCAACAATTAACAATACTACCTGTACTTTACAAACATCGTACAATGAATATGAGGTATTTTTTAATATGAATAAAATAGTTATCAGTTGTTTTGTAAATCATCTTAAAAATTCCTAATTTGTTAATATTGGAGATGTCAGTTAATAGTGTTATTATACGCAAACGTTGATTAAGGTCACTGGAATATTCGATCATTGTTGTATTCAACAATAATTGTTCGAACAAATTCTTGGTCAACCAACAAATGAAATCTTTACTGGTTCTAACTGACTTCTTTGTATACTTGGTTTGATAGATAGTGATATGTAATTCTCTTGGAATGAATTTAGTTTAATAATGATATTTCAGGTAAGACTCATACAATATTTGGTACAATTGAAGAGTCAGATTTAATTTCAAAATGTCTTCGTTAAATATTTCTTAATGTTGGTCAAAATATTGATGAAAAAGTTTTATTTAAACCTGTTGGTCTTGAGAATTTAATACTAACAATTGATTCTGACCTTAATATGGAAATAACTGTTCGAAATTATATTTTTAAAATTGAGATGGTAAGATTCTTTTCCAAACAAATTATTCAATACTATTCTATTCTTCTAGCGTCGAATTCGTTTACCAAATATAGTTGAACAACAAAATAATTTAGAAGCTCTTTCCGTTAAAGGTAAAATAAAGTTCACAAAAAAAAATATTTTACTTTATTTTATTCGATGAACATTATTCAATCTGGATGTTATTTTTTGAATTATATAATGAAAATATTCTTGATTTACTTGTTCAATCAAAAGATATGAAAATTCGTAAATATCTTAGTCTTATGCAAAATGATCATCCAACAATTATTAAAAATCTTATAAAAATACCTGTATTTGCACTAAAAGAAGCTGAAGATATTATTAAATTTGGTTTTGCTGATCGTTTAACATCAAAAACAAATCTTAATGAAGCACCATCAAGAGCACATGCGGTAGTTTGTATAGTGCTTATTACAGCTAATAAATTTGATGAAGAACCAATTATAAGTCATATGTGTATGGAGATAAAAATTTTTCTTTACTTTCTATTCTAATTTTATTTCTTAATTAGGAATTTGTGATTTGATTGATAATCAACCAATAATTATTAGTGGAAAACAGCTGACAGAAACTTATAATATAAATAAATCAATAATAACATTTAAAGATTGTATTCGAGTATTAAATGAAAATCAAATAGCGAAGTAAGAATATATAATGATAAATAGTTAGATCAAGATTTTTATTTAATAGAAAACAAATGTTTATACCTTTTCATAATAGCATATAACCAAGTATTTTTCGTCCGTTTTTTCGTTGTTTGTGGTCGAACGATTATTTGTTATAATGTTAATAGACATTTTTTGGTTATTAACACATCGCAAAGATTAATACATGTGTTGTATTTATTAAATAAGATGCAACAGCAATATTTGTTATTTTTACCTTTATTTTGTTTTAGAATTCTGAATATTTATGATTTAATTTTAGATCATGGAAAATCATCTTTTTCTAGAAACTTTACTTGAGTTATACAAAGATGATCGTGCTTCGGAAGATGAACAAGTTATTATCTTATTTTGTTATTGCTTATTTTTGAAGAATTATCGAATCGATATGGGAGCAAATGTGAGAACATACATTTATATATCTATACATTTATCACCTTTTTTTTAGACTAGCGAAATAATACAGTTCATCAGAAGCAACGATGCAACGGAAATTAACTTTCGAAAAAATAATTTACAATTAAGATCGTCCCATTTCATCACTGATACCACATACAAACTTCATTTACAAGTAAGTTTAAAAACATATGATAATCATCGTTTTTTTTTCTGTTTTAGGTTAGTAAAAGTCCAAAATTTCAATATACTATTCCTATTAAGGATCATATCAATCAAAATAAGTATGTTTGACTAAATTTTTATCCATTCTTTCAACTAGTAATTCACTTTAATCAATTTTTATAGAAAGTTGTTCAATATTCCGGAATTTATGAAAAACGTTGATAAAATATTATCAAATCTTTATGATTATATCAGCTATGAAAAAATATACAAAAAAAAACAAAAAAAAACACAACGTGATGTCATTGCTGATGAACAACGATCTTTACAAGGTAATCAACAATATCCACCTGGTGCAAGTTTAGCAACAGCTCACTATCCATCTGGTTCAAATTTAGCAACAGCTCCTTATCCACCTGATTTTCGTTTAGCAACAACTCATTATCCACGTAATCCATTAGTAGCAGGAGCTCAATATCCACCTGGTTTTCGTTTAACAACAGCTTCGTATCCATTTAATCAAAATTTAAGAACAGCTCATTATCCACCTGATCGAAATTTAGCAACAGTTCATTATCCAAGTGGTCCATTGTTAGCAACAACTCCGTATCCACCTGGTTCAAATTTAATAACAGCTTCTTATCCATCTAATCAAAGTTTAGCAACAGTTCATTATCCATACGGTCCATTGTTAGCAACAGCTCCGTATCCACCTGGTTCAAATTTAATAACAACTTCTTATCCATCTAATCAAAGTTTAGCAACAGTTCATTATCCACACGATCCATTGTTAGCAACAGCTCCGTATCCACCTGGTTCAAATTTAAATGCAGCTTCTTATCCATCTAATCAAAGTTTAACAACAGTTCAGTATCCACTTGATCCAAGTTCAGAAACAGTTCAGCATCCATCTGGTCAACATTTATCTCCAACAAATCATTCACCAGATCAACATCTCAATGCACAAGTTTTATTACATCCTGCTGGTAATGTTGGTTCATCGCAAGAAATCGTAAATATGGAAGCATGGTTACTAGAAGAACAGTAGATTTACAAGATATTTTTTAATTGACATTCCTCTATTGGTTGTAGATTTTTTTTTAAACTGTCAAAAAAAAAAACTTTTCAGGCTCGGTAACATCTCTTTCGAACCATGTTCTCTAACTACTACTAAGTTGAGATATTATTGATAGACAAAACCGAATTCGACGATTGTTTTTCTTTTTTATAATAAGAAAATCTGACATATTCAGACGAGTATTCTATTCACCCATTATTTCAATAACATCTGGTCCTTGTTGAGTAGCTGCCATATAAGACATTATTTGTTGAGCAAAATGTGGATAATCATTAAATATTGAAGCAATATTTTGTCCACTAGTCATCATTCGTTGTATACATATAAGACGTTCATTCATTAATTGTTGTTCGTAAATTTCTGGTATTGATGAAACCGATTGTTATTGTAGTTAATCTGCATCCGTATTCATTTTTTGTTGATCATTTAAATGACCGAGTCAATTATTCATATTCATGACTGGACCTTTTAATTGTTGCATACTTATAGCAATTTTAAGTACTGATGATGATGCATCAATAGCCATTGATGGTATATTAATTGTTGATACAGAATATTGTGTCGGTAAATTATGAATATTTTGATGTTTATGATAATAATCAGGATCAACAAGATATATATTTGATTGTGAACAAGCTACACTGGATAGTGTCATTGATAAAACTGATCGAGATGCAATATGACTTAAACTATCCTCAGCAACATAAGTAAAACTAAATTAACTAATATATTATTATGATTATTTAGATGAAAAAAAAAACTCATCGTTCAAATGCATTATCTGACATGCCAAGAGCATTGATAGATTCGGTACTACCTAACAATGGATTATTTGATTTTATTTCAAATGATAAAAAGTTTTTTTCGTATGATCAGATGGTGTTACCCAAATACGTTCATTGTTAAATTCTGTATGAAAGTAACTCGTATCTGTATCTGAGTCAAGTTCTGGTTTAAAAAAAGGTGAAATCTTAAAAACTTTTCTTTTTATTTATAAGTTTATTTGATAGGAAAAAAACAGACCTTTTTCTATTTATAGAAACCCAATGGAATATTACAAAAGAATAGATGACGTTCAACCTCACGAACATCTTCTACTCCTGAACTAATACCAAAATTTAAAAAAAATAATAATTTATTGAATAAATATTTCTTTTTTCTTGTTTACCGTTGGGTTGGTTCTTTTTCAAGAAAATGTTTGATCAAATCAAGTGCAGCTGATAATAAACTAGATGGATATGTTGGTGCAAGATTAAGAATTTTTTTAGAAAAGATCATCTTGACTTTTACTATCAGCAAATAGTAATTGACCAATAAGACATTCATACATAACGATACTAACACCCTACGAATCAATCGCGTGTGTAGATGATGTCGTTCGAAGAATCTATTCATATAATACAGTTTTTTTCAGTTAACTTTTATTACAAAAATTTACCGTATTTTATTTCTAAAAAAACCGGTTGTAGAACAATACAAAACGTAGAGTGTAACCAATGAAGAGTAACTTTTAATAAAGCACAAATCTTATAGGATATTATTCATATCTTGCGAGGCGCAAAAGACTCCATACTGATGCTTGAATAAGACTGTTGGTGTAAAGATACAGAAGGAGAAGAGAATCACTGTAATGTATATTCTATGAAATGATCATTTCTCTTCTCATATGTTTCAGATCTTTGGACTAAAGTCT